GAAAACTGAGACTAAAATAGTGATTTACGCATGATTTGATCAACATCTGAATTCAAGTATCAAAGTAGTAATGCACGTAGTGAATAGTATAAAAATTGCACCACACGGCAAAAAATTGCCGTCGTTGCCGCAATGATCCACGGCATTTTGTTCTCCCTCTACGGCAATTGCCGCGATAAAATTCGAGCCCTGGATCATACCCATGATCATCCATCTTCAGGTGACAAGACAAGCTAACCAGATGAACTGGCTAGAATAGTGTGATCTATACAGGCAATGGTTCTGGGAACATTAATCATGCTAGGACCTGTGACTGGTTTTCCCATTTATACAAATACACTGATCATACATATCATTGCACAAATAATAATTACTTTGTCTGTCCTGCCAAATCAACCACAGATTTTATGAACCTGGACATTGCTATATTTGTTCAAGATATGATAGATATCCCTTCGTTCCTTGGCCAAGTCATGTTCATTCAGTTTCAGAGGATTACTAAGTTTTATTTTGTTTTAGAACTCCAATCCTGTGGTTGAAATATATGACAGAACATTTGATAGGCTTGTTAGTCAAGAACCTGTTTTTATCAATTTTTATGTCCCATGGTAAGTTGCCATTATTGATTCAATTATTTCATTTTATATCAAACTTCATAATTGTAAATGTTTTTAGGTCAAAGGAATCAAAAGCAATTCATGAGACGTGGAAAAATTTGGGAAAACTTTGTCAAAAAGAAGGTTTAACTACAATAGCACAGGTAATGTTTTGTAGATTCCTTCCTCTGTAAATGTACATCGGAGTAATTTATCATTCTTTGGGTGTGGTTTAGGCAGGGAGCTTCATTGATATATACTACGTACTATATCAAGCTTGTTTGGCTACCTATTGCAGCCTGGAAAGAACATGCTTACATCATGCAACCTGCCTTTAAACTACTCAGTCATTCTCTCTGTAGATAAATAGCGCTTCCTTCTTACCATATTCTATCCTTTCTTCTGTCTATACCTCATCAACGTATAATCTAATCTGTTCTTTCTTCTGTCACTACAGATCGACTGCTCAAGATTCTCTGAAGTCTGTAAAAAGTATGAGGTATGATTAAAATTTCATGTCTGGACTCCTCTACCATTAATCTTTTTCATATATGTAGTTCAGACACAGACCATGGCAGTTTATTTCAGAATACCGTACTACCTACACTGGACCACCACGTTTGAGATATCTTTTCAGGTAGTTCAGACACAAACCACGACAGCTTATTGTAGAATACTACCTACACTGGACCACCACGTTTGAGATATCTTTTTCAGGTAGTTCAGACACAAACCGCGACAGCTTATTGTAGAATACTACCTACACTGGACCACCACGTTTGAGATATCTTTTTCAGGTAGTTCAGACACAAACCACGACAGCTTATTGTAGAATACTACCTCCACGTTTGAGTAATCATTACTTATCTGTAATTGTTTCTCTTGCTAGATAATTCAGTACCCAACTTTGATACTGTTTAAAGAAGGCTATAGATATTACTACAATGAAGACAGAACTTTAAATTCATTGCATAAATTTGTCAAACTATATTTTCATGATGAATTATGAAGTGGATATTTAATGAATTATTATTAAGGTATGCACATAGTATAAATAGAAAATATTGTATGTTGTAATTGATGTATGTAGAAGTTTTAAATACATTTGTACCACCTTGTATTTTCTTGCAGTTAATATCTAGATATTTCTGCCAAATGATAATTTCCAAATATGGATGGAAACAATATGAGAGCTTGTGAGAGGGCTAGACTGGAAGTTCACAATCAGTCAACCTGATCCAATTTAATTTAGTCACGTGGCTTTAAGTGATTGAATGGATGGCGATTGCCAGCCTCGTATCTGTACCAGATTGTCTTGTGTGCACTCAGCTACCATATCTTGTTTGCTTGCCAGTTTATACTGATATCATGTCCATGATGATAACTTACATCAAGTATTGCCTCACATGTTGGTACTCTGTACTGACGTCATTATGTCCAGGACCTCGTACGTGGTACCATACCAGCACACTGACCTACATCAAGTATCACATGCTGAAGTTACCCTGAGCTGTCACTCGTCACCAGGTCTTTCTTAGCTCGCTCTTCCATTTTTTTCATCGCGATGTCAATCTTTAGTTTCAGTCTGTTTTCAAAATCATAACCACTGCATGTTTCCTGGAGAAGAAAATCACATACATCAACAAAAGAATCGCATTTGAACATCTTTAATCAGGGTTCGTACAAAACTTGAAAGTCCTTGGATGTCCTTGAATTTGAAAACAAAAATTCAAGACTTTGAATGTCCTTGAATTTGTAAAGAAGTGCTTGAATGTCCTTGAATTCTTCTTGCTTTAGTTTTTGGATATTTTCTGAAATTGTTTGACATTCAAGACGGAGATTTTGTTGAACTGATTTTGCATGTTCATATCTGACCTCGTTATAAAGTTACGTTTTGAACAATTCAACGTCAGATTTTGCTGATTTCTAACACCTTCTTCAGTATTTAGTCCTTGAATTTGCTGATACATGGCTTTGAATGTCCTTGAAAAGTCCTTGAATTTAACTCTTCCTGACATGTACGAACCCTGTTTAATATGAACAACCACACAAAAACAGTTTGTTCTGCTTTATTAGCAGTACTAAGTGAAAAAATTATAGTTAAGTTGAGCTACGACGTAACTTTATCCACTACACACGAATGCATGCAGAGCGCGTTCTTCAATGCGTTCAACGCGTGTTTCTCTACGTTCTTATTTGCGTTTCGAGCGCATTCTAATTCGCTCCATTCGCATAAACGTGTTTACTTTGCGTCCTAATCCATATTCGTAATGAAATTAGCGACAATCGCAAATTACTTGGGTTTTCCGAATACCTATAAACACAATTTCAAATAGCATATAATACGTTACCTTCGCTTTCCTGAGAAATTCTTGTCCTTTGTCAAACTAGAGGTAGAAAAATAAACAATTTATTAATAGATTACCAACATCGCAATTTGTTAACATTGCAAGTTCATAGATCAGTGGCTCGTACTTGTGAGATCTTCGCAGATATTATTCCCAATTCATAAGCAGCAAATGGTAAGACATGTTTATCGCCAACAATATTTTCACCGGCAGTCATTGCTTCTTTATAACACTACAAAAAAATGTTCATATACTGTAAATCTTAGTACGCAAAACTTGCCAGCAATAGATAACCGGCGAACTGGCCTCGAGCTCAGTTCAGCATTTCTATAGCAGACTGTCTCAGCCCACAATTCAGAGATGAATTGAAAGGTACTACAATAATGCCACAATGACCTTTTTTACTATTACTGTACTAGACCGGAATAATTTACTCATTCCTCCACCTCCTAAAAAAACAACGTTGGACGTAGTACAATTGCTTTAACCGTATTCTGGGGAATGCAATCAACATTGAATGGTGGGGGTAAGGGGGACGTTTTTCAAAAATTGCGATATTACGAAATTTTGTCAAATAATTGGAAGTGTCGCAGATGTTAGGATTGGAACTCTAACGAGAACACCAGTGAAGCTCTTTACAAAGCCGTTTGTCTTACGCACATGTGAAAGCTTATGACAGTACGTTGGATCTTACCTCAATAGCTTGAGTCAATCTTCCAAGACGATGTAAGACATACGCAGTTAGAAATAGTTTCAACGCAACAAAATCATCTTTCACCGTCTTCTCCAGGCCTGCAAATTGGAAACAGTTCTAAATACAATTCTAATTGGAAGTTGGGCCAATTTCACAGCGACATTGCGTCTTACCTTGGAGCAAGCACGACAAGGTGACAGAACTACACGTAGGGAGACATTCCCATAAATAAATAATTTCCAACAACAAAATTAAACTCTCTGTATCATTTGGCGGTGCTTGAACACAACACGTGGCCTAGAATACACAATGAAAATTGGTTAAAATAGTTGAGAATCTCTAAAACCTCATCAAAAACAGATATCTCTATGGTTAACAAACATTTAAAACGTTCCCCACTGGCGTCTGTTAATTAGAGATTCGAATGTACTAATTTGATTTAAATAGTTACAATTTGAACAGCAATTTTCATAATCTAAAAAAGTTTTCCTTTCTAAAAAAGTTCAAACCTTTCTAATCAAAAACACAGCTAGAGGCGTTTTTCGTTTGACAAGTGAAGGGACATATCTGAAGTAGATTACAGCTTCGTTTGTATTGCTTTGGACACCATGAAGAACTGGAATATAGAATGATATCACATTGCTACAGACAGTTTCATTGCAAACAATTGACAATTTCTTGAAATAAATTTACATTTACATACATACCACCAATTAAATAAACATAGAAACATTGTGACCATCTAGTCGCATCTTTTACTCTAAATTTCATATAATAGAAATTATATTTAGGAAGGCACAAGTTAAAATAATTTATTTTAAATTTTAATCTAAGATAATTATTTTACAAGCACAAAATAAAATACTTTATAAATGCCTGAATAGCAAGATCCCACTGCATCTCCAGTAAATGACACCAGCCTGGAAAGTTAAAAAAATATGCAAATTAATAATTTGGACTATATTAGAATGAATTAAAAAAGAAAATCTGGTTGAAATTTAAAAAAAATAATTACTGTACACTGAACCAAGTTAGAAATGATAGCAATTACCTATTTCATAATCACAAAACATGATCATCTCTTTATAAGCCTGAGGTTTTTCTAAAGCCAGGTTTAATGATCTTGTTGCATCAGTGAAATTACCCTGGAATGAATTGAAAATGAAGTAAGAAATATGACCATACTTGTTTCAACCACATGCATTGTCAAGTCAGGAAGTTTGCTCACCTTACAACGGAATAATAAACCTTCAAAATAAAGAGCAACTGGAGACAATAATAAATTCTCTTGAAGACCTTGCAATAATTGAGAAGCTTCTTCTAAACCTAGATCAAACATTTTCACACAATGTATATTATATTTATGGCTATCTCCTTACAGTCTCAAATGTCAATCAGATATTAAATAATCACTCAATTAGAAAATAATTAGAACCAAATATAATTTAATTACCACATTCAACATCATTATCATCAAAAGCATACATTGGTCTGATAATAGCATGATACCATAGGAGACCAAGTCTATATAATCAATCATTAATTGATCAATCATCAATCATTAAACAATCATCAATAAATCATCAGTGAGTGATCAATCATTAATTAATCAACCAACAATCTATCATCAATCATCATTAATTAATCAACATTAATCAATCAACATTAATCAATCAACATTAATCAATCAATCAATCATTAATCAATCAATCATTAATTAATCAATCATTAATGAAGCATTAATTAATTAATCAATTAATCAATCAATTATTAAATAAACAATAATCATTAACCAATCAATCAATCAATCATTAATTAATTAATTATTAACCAATCAATCAATCAATAATTAACTAATCAATCAATTACTAATTTATTTAGCGAAACCAATAATTACCTTGACAGTTCAGCCTTGACATTCTGACTGGCACAGACATACTTCAAACAACACAGACCCAGTTCTTGGTTGCCATGGAAACCAAAAAACTGCACAAGTTGTAGCACTTTAGGAGGGGTCAATGACACAACAAGGTTAAACAAACCGTAACCAAATGCGATAGCTGCTTGTACTTCATGTAAAGCATGAGAACTAACTGTCTTTGTTTCAACATTGTAACAACTACATGAGACATCAGAATTCACAGTCTCTTGTTCTACATTTGACAAGACCTCAGGATTATTTTGATGGAGATGACAAAGTTGATGTTCTGAGTTGCCATTAACATTTAGAAAAGAGCCTCCAATCTTTAAGATTTTATCATAATTCCTTTTGTACTGTTTCCAAGATTTTCGTATTAAGAAAGCGCCTTTCACATAATCTTTCAAACCTGCAGTACGTACAAAAATTAAATGTATATAAGTTTCACAACATATTTCCATTACAAATAACCCCTTCAATCATTTAACTCTATCAAATTAGATACAAAACCCTGATATTTACCCAAATGCAATATTAAGAGCCTAGGTTTTGGGTATGTGATAATAATGAAACTCAAGGTCTCAAATATGAAAATGAGGCTCTATTGGCAATGATCGTCAGACCTACTTTCCAGAAGCATGTTGAAAAATGTTTTCATGTAAAATATTAGGCAAGAAATACAATTCAGAAATTAATTCTCTTGTTCCTATACGTGTCAAAATTTCTTACATTCAACACCATCTGTTAGCTTGCTAACACTAACTGACACATATGACATACACAAGGTGTTGAGACAAGTGGTCCATAGCAGACCTACCTTGTTTCAAGATACTCAATATTGCCATGTATAGCTCAGCATCAGTGGAGAAAATCTCATTCATTAACAACCTCAGATCATCAGCACTACATTTCTCTTGTTTTAAAATATTCCTCTGTGTGATACAATATCTCTGAGTTTCCTTCAGACAGCCGATTGCTTCGTCAATATGAGTTTCATCTAATGTCAATAACGAGCTCTGAAATCATTAATCAATCAATCTAATCAAGCAATCAGCCACTTTCTTAATAACCAACTAAATAATCTATCAATTACTAACTTAATTAATCTAATTATTAATCAATGAACAAAGGAATTATACATCAACTATTTAATTAGTTGAGAAAATTGGAATAATAATAATCAATAATAACCATCAATCTGTGAAACTGATCAATTAACTGGCTAATTAAAGAATTGCATAAAACTGTTAATAAGCAATCTATTTTAAAATACCCAAGCTTACCAGAAACTCAACGAAGCTTGATACAGAATTGAGCAAAGAACTTTTGTTTCTGAAAAACAGTTATACAAACATTAGAATATATCACAAAACATTCAAATGCAAACATCTCAAACTTGGTATTTAAAGTTTAAACTTTGCAACAAAGTAGAAATGGTTTATTGTACATATCTTTACTCATAATATAACATTTCAACCTATTATTAAAGTAAAGAAAGAATACAGAACCTTTTATCAACGAGGTATTTCCTGGCAGCCAAACAGCCATTGTTTAGTAATATTTCCACGCTGCATCGTACCATTATATAATCTTCCTCCGCAAACATAGAGCCCATTTTCTCGCTGTTTTATTTGACTGGAGACCTACGTCTTTTCATGCTAAAATACTCAATATCCAAGTCCAACAAGAATATATAAAGAAAAACAACGACAGTATATTTCTACAAATACATATCAATAAACTTTGTGTTTAAGGTGTTTACTGTTTACTCCGTATCAGCGGTTTGCCACTGCGGGCTCCGGCCACTGAGCTATAGGCGAGAATGGATTAACAAAGATACCGACGTTTGCATCTAATAATGATAAGGCAATGGACCATTTGCATTATAGACTAAATTTTGATCTAGACAAAAATTTCATCACAGCTTGAAAGAGCATCACAAAATTAGCAATATTCCAAAGTTTCGTTGCGAAATGTTGTAAAATGCGGATAATATAGCCATGCGAAGTTTGCCGTTTTTCAGTCATTTTGTATCACGCACGGGAAATTGACAGCCCAATCGGGTGTTGGGGCATCAATTTCCCGTTTGTAATACAAAATGACTGAAGATTGCAAATTTCGCAGGGCTATATTATCCGGCGCATTTTACAACATTTCGCAACGAAACTTTGGAATATTACTAATTTTGTGATGCTCTTTCAAGCTGTGATGAAATTTTTGTCTAGATCAAAATTTAGTCTATAATGCAAATGGCCATTGCAAATGCCGAAATGCGCAATATAACCACAAAGCCACTTGGCATAAATCCCGCACAGTTTCCTCTAAATTCCGTGCAATACATCATGCGATCTCTCAATTTCATATAACTCTGATATTTCTTTTCTTTCATCGCAATTTGATTCGCAAATACTACTTTCGCTATAAATGAAAGAGGCCGCAATCAATTTAAACTCTTACCACAAAAGTAGGAAGCGGTACGGTATCGGAAGCAGCCGTTATCAAACTGCTTGTTTTTCTAGCTAATTACGCTAACGAATGGGTAGATATATAAATTAGTGTAACACTGTTTTGTATACATTTCAGTTTGTTGCAGTTGTAGGAGGGTGTACCTATTATCAGAAGATACTTCGCTGTCTTGGCAGGACATTTCTGTATCATCACAGGTACATTTGTACATTACATTATTCTGATTCAGCTCACTCCCTAGTATTGGGGCTTTTCAATGACCGAATGCATGAAGCGAGGCATCAGAACTATTACGACTACTTATGTTACTTACTTAGCCTAGACTATATTTTAAGTATTTATCAGTTTACAACAATTGAGATATTACTTTTCTGACTGTGTTTATCCTAGCCCTCCCCGCCAGTAATAAAATAGTAATAAAATTAAAATAGTAATAAGAATTAAAATATTAATAAAAATTCTTGGTTGATTATGATAATGAAGGACGATAAACTATACGGGAATCATATTTCTGAAGAACGAATCATAAACACCGACATATCACTATTGTGTCAGAAAACGAGTCACAAAACGTGGCAAAGAGGGCCTTATATAGGGTTCACACAAAACTTGAAAGTCCTTGAATTTGAAAACAAAAATCCAAGGCAAGGCCTTGCATGAATATCCTTGCATTTGTAAAGAAGTTTTTGTTGCTTTAGTTCAAGGATATTTTTTGAAATTGTTTGACATTCAAAACGAGCATTTTGTTGAATTGATTTTGCATGTTCATATCTGACAAAGCTGTTTGAAATTAACAATTCAACGTCCGACATTTTACTGAATCCTAAGATTTCTAACGCCTTCCCTTCAGTATTTAGTGCTTGAATTTGCTGATGTACAAGGACAACATGGCCTTGAATGTCCTTAAAAAGTCCTTGAATTTGACTCTTCCTGACATGTATGAACCCTGTCTATAACATTTTTCCCAGCTGCTCGTGCAGGTTAGGTCTAAAAGTGTTCCTTCAACATTTACCGAATAAGTACGGTTTTTGTGATGACTTCTGCTTTGATGATTGTCCCACGCAAGAATACTAAAATCAACAACAAGAGAAAACTTCACTTTGCTCGCCCATCCCAACTTATTTAATACCACGCATGCTCCGCAACTGATTTCGTCGCATTTTGTGAAATTCGTAAATGAGCGGAAAAACACCCCAAGTGCAGAGAAGTGGGATTTTCAAAACAATGAAAAGACACACTTGTTTAATATTAATATGGTGTAAATTTTTTTACGCAAATATTACAATCACTGTTGACAATGCATCATGCCAAGCGAACGTAGAAAAACAGTCATGTCGTTTTTACAACCCTTTTAAGCCTGATTCTCATATGTCGCCCGCGGACGTCGGCGATGCCCACTGTCGTTGATCATTGATGAGTAAAATCTTTCAGTAAAATCTCAAACAATAGCATCGCCGACGTCGACGACATATGAGAATCAGGCTTTAGCACAACACCACTGCCATCCAGTCACGATCCAGTGATCGAAATGTTTTCTTTTGATTTTTTTTCTGCGTTGGTGTTGTGTACTCAGGTGAATAATATGTTTGCGATGTTACTCTGAGTGCATATCCACACCGGGCGAGCTTGAAAAATATGCCCGGCCACGGTGGGATTCGAACCTACGACCTTTGGAATACTAGCCCAATGCTCTTCCAACTGAGCTACGCGGTCAGGACGGTTCGAGTAAGTGATATTTCGGAACAGTATATCTAGTTCCTTCAATACCAATGTGTTCTAGTAATATGATCTTTTTCTTCTGCGTTGGTTACACAACACCAATTACGCAGAAAAAAATCATATTACTAGAACACATTGGTATTGAAGGAACTAGATACTGTTCCGAAATATCACTTACTCGAACCGTCCTGACCGCGTAGCTCAGTTGGAAGAGCATTGGGCTAGTATTCCAAAGGTCGTAGGTTCGAATCCCACCGTGGCCGGGCATATTTTTCAAGCTCGCCCGGTGTGGATATGCACTCAGAGTAACATCGCAAACATATGTTTTCTTTTGTTTTGAAAATGACCCTTATTTCCCTTATTATGATGTTTAAATGAATTATATGCAAGACTCAGAGGCCTTCATGCGTGTAGTGACATGTTCGCTTTGTTTACTACAATTTATTGAAACTATTTGACTTTTTCCGCTTTCTATTGGCTTGCAGCTGAAGGAAGCTAGCTTCATTTGCATAAATATACACAAACAAAACTACGCAAAGTTGATTTAGCATAGCAATTGCAAAGACCTGCTACCTAGCTACGAATACGCATGATTTGAGCGAGTGTTTATCTTACAAAGCATTCCAAACTAAACAATAATTTTAAATATGTCTGCTTTATTCTCGCAGGAAAGCGACTCCGAAGGCTCGTTATTATTGTAGAAAAATGCATGGCGAAAACGAACAAACATTAAAAAGACGTAGAACTCATTCGAATTTACAAGACAATGAGGAAAAATCTACACTAGGTCCAGAATCCAATGGCGTCTCTGGCGACGAAGCACAAATGGCCGACTTGAAAAAATCGCTTGAGGACCGCCATAATAATAACATTGAACTAACCGAAGGGGATGTTTATACTCAACTGTCAAACACAGAACATGATTTGGCACTGGCTAAGGACATAGGAGAAGCTTTGTTGGCAGAAAATATCGAACTCCGAGAGAAATATGAAAGCTTGCTTGACGAACATGCTACCCAGGTCGAGGTAAGATGTGTTGCTATGGTTTGTGTCTGAACTATATTTGACAAAGATTATACTTCAATTGATTCGGCAATTCAATATACGTGACCTTTATAACGTATACATTCATACTGTCCACAACTGCCTTTTTCTTTACTTAAAAATCCTCCTATTCTGTCCTGGGATAGTGTAATTCATGAATTAAGTTATCCTGGAGAAGTAAAACGGATCTATTGAAGACCAAAGCAGTTGAATGCAGTGCTAAATTATTGCATAAATTTCAATCGATCTAAAGGATTATAGGTCAATTAATTTCAGCTGTTGTTTGTTGGGCCAGGGGTCACGTCTATGTCGTGTTTATAAGCTCATATTATAAACAGTTACGGTACTTCACCTTTGCCGTATAGCAAGACTAATTTAATTTCGACGTGTCGACCGAAGAAGATTAATGATTAGGTGGAAAGAATACTCGTAGAATTCTACCGGACTGAACGGCACGCTTGAAGATTATAGTTAGTCACAAAATTATTTGGTTTATCACCAGATCTCCAGATTTCAATAGAAAACATAAACTTGTAGAAGTTGCGGGCGGAATAAAGAAGTTAAAAAGATATTATTTGTCGGGTTGCAACTGAGACTTACATGCAATTAACGAGCCATAAAACAGGAAATTGGAACAATGAGATTATGTTAGCTTGTAATTATAATGCTTAATGAACATTCTATGTGGGCGTATTGTCCTATTATGACCAGGGCCGCTAGAGGGGGGTCCTGTGACGGCATAATTGTAAAACCGAAGAAGGGGTGTTTTGCAGCACGTTGCACTTTATTGCATATTATCCGACACTAAAGCCCTGGGCAAACTAGGAAACATTGTTGCGGAAACATTTGTGATCTCGATGTTTCCTCAAATGTTTCCATGTTTTATTGTGTTGTGTAATGTACTCAGGTGAATATGATACTTGTGATGTTACTCTGAGTGTAGTATATCCACACCGGGCAAGCTTGAAAAATATGCCGGTGGAAATATTGTTGCGGAAACAAAATTTGCTTCCCCGGAAGCAAAAATGTTTCCTACCAACTTCAGAAACATTTGATGTTTCCCTATGTTTCTCACTAATGTTTCATAGTGTTTGCCCACTCTGGGAAACATGGCGAAACATTGGCAGGAAACAATGTTTCCGCAACCATGTTTCCTAGTTTGCCCAGGGCTTAACGCAGCTAGGATTTATATTCTCAGTTACGCAATCTTTTATCAAGCAATTTTAAGAGCCTTTCTTGCTTTGGTTGAACCTCTCAAGCCAGAGAGCCTGGCTTGCCAGGTTGGCTTTGGTGGCCCCTTTGTTGCCTGTGGCAAAGGCCCCCTACCTCTATAGGAAACCTAACTACTAAACTAACTTTATGTATAGTGGATAGCTCGATCAGTACTAAACTGTTCTTCCTAGAGATCCAGTAAGAATCATCTCTTATTGATCCAGTGGTACTACAGTAGGAAACCTAAACTAAACTAACTTTATTTATACTGGATAGCTCTATCAGTTCTAAACTGTTCTCCCTAGAGGTCCAGTAAAATCATCTCTTATTGATCCAGTGGTACTACAGTACTGACAGGAGGAAACCTAAACTAAACTAACTTTATTTATACTGGATAGCTCTATCAGTTCTAAACTGTTCTTCCTAAAGGTCCAGTAAGGATCATCTGTTATTGATCCAGTGTTACTACAGGAAGAAACCTAAACTAAACTAACTTTATTTATGCTGGATAGCCCTCTCAGTTCTAAACTGTTCTCCCTAGAGGTCCAGTAAGGATCATCTCTTATTATTCCAGTGTCACAACAGTAGGAAACGTGTAAACTGTATAATCTAATCCTAGTAAACTAAACTAACTTTATTTATGCTGGATAGCCCTCTCAGTTCTAAACTGTTCTCCCTAGAGGTCCAGTAAGGATCATCTCTTATTATTCCAGTGTCACAACAGTAGGAAACGTGTAAACTGTATAATCTAATCCTAGGTTCTTCAACAAGAGAAGCACGATCTTCAACTCAGACGAAAACGAGTGGAAAGCATACAAGAGGAAAAGATACGAGAATTAAATGTTGATTTGGAAAATCTTCAAAATAAACTCAATGTTTTTGAGGAGACATCACTTGATGATAAAGAAGCGAGGAGAGAGAGTGTTTATGAACTTATTGAGGAAAATTCCAAACTGAATTCTGAATTGAATAAGGTGAGAGTGGTTTATTTTTCTTGCTCATACAAAGTCTAGATTACACTATCAAAGTTCCTTTGATCACAGTAGGAATTTTGCATCGGCAAATTCTATGTTATGAAGGATTTGTAAGCAATTTTTAATGGGACTAAAAAAGTGTTAAACACTGAGTCAATTCTCAATTTACCTCTGCAAAATTCCTACTGTGATCTCAGAAACTTTGATAGTGTCAACTAGCTTTAAATGTCAGCATTTCTGAATTTGCTGCCCAGGAACACTTGCAACGAGGTTTGCTATATGTCCGAATGGGAAGTGAAGCCAATTTTCGGAAGAACACCGTACGAACGTCGTAAAATAACGGACAAACTTCGGAAAAACATCGGATCGAAACCGAAAGTAAGCACACAAGCACTATATACGCGCCACCCGTGTCTGGTTTCACTGCCGCGGAACACCTGTCGATTATTTGCCAAAAATATTTATTATTCCAAAAATGGAAAATTTCGTAAACGAAGCTCTTTTCAACCGGAAGTTTACATTTGGAGAAAATGTATAAATATTTTGACCGGAATTCGATGTTTGTCTTTGAAAGAGGAGAAAGTTAAGTAAAGTAAAG